TTTGGGGTGTGAAAATAATGAAAGTGGAAATGTAGGAAAAAGAAAAAATTGTGTTTTTATTTATGGCTCATGAGCCATGATGAGAATTTGTGTAAGGTAATATATCGAAAAATATTTTATCAAATAAGAATAAGGACAAACATAATTTGATTTTTTTTTTATTTAAAATTTTGGGGTTGGCACCAATATTGTCCAAATCACCCCTACAATACAGTTGATGATTTGTTATTTGCTTCGTTTTTTAGTTATTTGATTAAGAAATTTTTTTATTTTATTATTATTTATGTTTTTATATATTTTAAATCATTTTAATAAACATTTCAAATTTTAATTATTTTTATTTCCTAAATAATTAGAAGTTTAACGTAAATAATAATGATAAAATATGTTAATGTTCTTATAAGTAATTTTATATATTAAAAGCTAATTCAAAATAGCTATTTATCAAATATTTTTTTACAAATAGTTAAAACGAGTCAAAACAGTTCATACAATCCATCGGTCAAAACAACTAATTCAATCTACTAACAGTCAACATATTACCAAAGAAGGCCATAGTCCAAAAATTGGTCTACGAAATTGTACACATAAATAGAAAAAAAATTGATCCACAAATTATGATATTCATGTCTGATTTTCCTAGTTATCACTCACACGGTACAAAACAAAAGTACTATTATATGGCTTTGGTGGCCGGTCAAAATCATCAAAATTAAACATAATGAGAGGTTCCTAAACAAATCTAAAACTAGATACAAAACAAGTAAAAAGGAAAAAAAAAAANNNAGAAGAAACGCAAATTCACGAGAGAAGCCAGGAAATAAGGGCACTATGGTCATTGCAGTCATAAACGGGGCCCACTTGGAATACGCTGTTTTCACTCGAATCCCCCCTTTTGTCGTCGTCTCCGCCGTGTCGGAGCCACGGCGGCAGCGCAACCTCTTCCTGTCCCCAACCGCCGCTGACGTCATCGTCCCATCCCCATGTCCAATCGGAGCACTCGACGGCCACCGGGAAACCCAGTTGCTCCACACTGCTGTGGCCAATCTCCGGCAGCCCAATCCCGCCGGAAAACACCCTCTCGTCGGAGGTTTCTCTCTCCTTCTCCTCCAGATCCGGCCATATCCCGCTCAAATCTTCCATTAAAATGTCGTCCACGCTTAAAACTCCCTCCTCCACTGGAATTATTCCATTATTATTATTATTATTATTATTATTATTGAAGACTTTGGTGCTGGAAATCAGAGCCTCAGCCTCCGGAGTTGGGGTTTTGGGCATTATCGGAATCGGGGAATCGGTTTTGGGCGGTTCGTTGGCGGCGGTTTTGGTCTTCTTCTTTCGGGTGGTGGACCGGCCGGTTTGACGTGCGGGTTTTGGGACCGGGATTTGAACCGGCGGGGGTGATTTCGGGTTTTTGGGTCGGATGAAGCTGTGGATTTTACGGCTGAGGTGAGAATTCCAGTAATTCTTAATTTCATTGTCTGTTCTACCCGGCAGGTACCTCGCTATCACGGACCACCTGCATGTAACATTAATGTTTTTTAACTTATTATTATTATTATTATAATTATGTAATTATTGTGAAACTACCCCAAATAAAATGACAAAAATAATGACTAATTTATAAAAAAAACACATTAAATTGATATGATTAGACAAACTAAACATTAATCCAATAATTGTACCTGGGACTGGGAGTGCACTTCTTTTTATTATTTTTCTTTTTTTTTTTATCCAATTTTGGACAAAGATTTTCATACATTTATGTTTATTTTACTAGTTAGATGGTATGGAAATTTTTTTAGGTGAAATTGAAAGATTGAATATGGTCGATATGCAATCTATAAATTGTACTGAAACATGCAAGTGAAGAAAAGAAAAAAGCTGATAGATAGATAACTTAATTAAAAGCTTGTAACAAAAGTATTTAATAAAAGTATTTAATAACTGATTGTAGCTACTCATAGTACTGAAAAATGGCCATAGATAGATAACTTAATTAAAAGCTGATATAATTTACAATATAAGTGAATTAAAATATATAATTTTAAAAATTGTTACTTTCAAATATAAGATTTGAGTGTCCTTATCTTAAAAATGTGTAAAATTTGACTGTACAAAATAATCCCCTTTAAAAATAATTACTATAACTTTGCATTTATGTCCTAAGGGTACACTTGTGAGATGTAAAAGTAAACGTTTATGTTTTACTTCTGGCGGTCCCCCTTAAGCTTTGATGTGTGTAGGGTTTAATAGTTTTATTAATGAATAGACTTACGACCTTTTTTTTAAATCAAAATAAAATTATAAAATGTAAAGAAAAATGTTGAGGGCCTGATTATAGAACAGTTCCTTTGTAAATTCAATTACAGTAGTTCTGCCACTAGTATTAAATTTGCTAATGGTTATATAGCACCGACTATATATATTAATTAATTAGTTCCAATTAATAAGTAAACAAATATAAATGTATTCCTATTTTAGCCCAGGGCACAGTAGCAAAATATTAAAATATTGACCCGGAGTTCGGGCTAGTCACATTTATTGTATGACTAATCTTTAAACAAATGTATCTTCGTGTTATGAAAACTTATACTATATTTATTTATATTTTGTTAGACTATAATATTTTAATTTGCATTGATCTAATGATAAAAAAATGCAGTTACTAAAATTTTCCCATAGTAGAAGACTTCACGTACTGTGATTGAATTACACATTCACATTATATNAAAAAAAAGACAAACCTATTGCCTAAAGAGGCATGGAGATTGATGATGATATCTTCTTCATTAGCAGATATATTCCCTCTTTTCAAGTCTGATCTTAAGTAATTTATCCATCTCAGCCTGCAACTCTTTCCACACCTAAGTAACCCTTTAAAAACAAAGAGAAGAAATTAATAAATGTCACTCCAATTGGGATATTACAAGAAGAAAAAAGAAAAAAAGAAAAAATACACAAACAAATAAGAAATAATTACATTGTGATAACAAGAAAGGGGGAAAAAGTAGTGATAATATGTAACTTGTGTTAATGTTTATTAAGATAATGTTAATTAATTACCTGCATTTTTGGGCAAAGATCTCCATGAGCCTTCACCATTGGCCTCAATATATTTCCTTAACAACTCATCTTCTTCTGTTGTCCATCTTCCCCTTTTCAGACCCACTTTTTCACAGCATGGGGCTCTTCCCATTTTTCCCTTATTTTCTTTTATTTTAGTCTCAAGAAAACAAATTTTACAAGAAAAAAATAAAATAGAAAAAAAACACTCTTCACAAGGCTTGATAGTAATAATTAAGAATCACTTCTTTTGCCTGAATGTTGCATACTTATAGTGCCAAGACACTCAG